GTTTCAGACACAATATTTGGAATTAAAAACAATTAGAATCCTCAATGCAAATGGCCAAATATTTTTTAAACCACATATTTTTGTAACTCGGGATTTCTCAATTGAGGGTGGCAGGTAAAACATCATGAACGAGCTAAAGAGAACAAAGGGACCAAGACATTGAGATGAATGAGAAATCAAAAGCTCCCCAAGGTTCACACAGCTTTGCTTGGTCCAAGCTGAGGGACACAGTGAACTCTTCCTGGAAGGCAGATTTTGTTACACTTCCTGTGAAATCTTCCGGCATCACCTACGCTGGTTCCTTTACAGCTATCATTCTCTGATAAAGTTTATTTTAAACTGATATTATTTACGAGTATTATGCTATTTCACATTTCTTTTCCACATAAAAGGTTCTCCTACCCTGGATGCCAAGGTTACAGGTTGAGCGCCTCTAATTTGTAAATCTAAAAACTGAAAATGCCTCCAAACACAAACTGGTGTTCGGCTTGTGCAAATTCCTGCCTAACCTCAGGTGAGCCTCCATTACCAGCTGGTACTTAAAAAAAAAAAAAATCTGTATAAAATGACACCCAGGCTCTTTGAATAAAATGTATATGAAATAACTTATGGGTTTAAATTTGGATCCCATCCTAAGATATCTTACTATGCATATGTAAATATTTCAAAATCCCCCTCAAGAAAAATCTATGCAGATGGGAAATGCGCATTAATTTTCCTGCTGACCATGAAACTTGTGTGTGGACATTATTTCTGGTTGCCAAACAACAGATGATGGGGACTACCTCTTACTTTATGCAAACAGAAATTAATCATTTGTAAACATTTTACACTTTTTTTTTCAAATACTTTTGAGAACACCATTGAAGTGCTTTGCATCCTTGTGGGTGGCAGGGAGAGGCGTGAGACTTGTGCCATCTTGAGCGTAAGTAAGTAGCCCTGCCAGTTTTGGAGCCTCCTGTCCTCTAGCTATTTCCCTGTGACTCAATGTATTCTTAAAATTTTCTAAACTTTATTGAGCAAAATTTACAAATAAATAAAAGCACAACACACACACACACACACACACACACACACACACATACCCCTTTGGAAAAATTCAGACGTGATAGTGTACACCTTTCATCCCAGTGCCTGGGAGGAAGAGGCAGGAGGATCTCTGTGAGTTAGAGGCCAGCCTGGCCTAAAAAGTGAGTTCCAGGACAGGTAGAACTACACAGTGAAATCCTGTCAATAAACAAACAAACAAATAAATAAATAAATAATAATGAAAATAAAACACACCAAAATTAACCCTCAAAAAGAGCTCCCAAAGTCTTTATAATTCAAGGACCTTCTTTACAGTTCCAATGGACACTTGGAGCAGAAGCCATGACAGTCCACATTAAGCTTTGCACTGCAGTTTTGAATACATCGTGTGCACTTATCTACCACCAACACCAAAAAGACTCCTGATACAGTTAGAAGGAGGAAAACTGAATGCCGGCAAAGGACACGAGTCACAAAAGGGGATCCAAAGCTCATGTTCCACTGTGTTCAGTTCAAGGGGCACCGTCTTCTCCTCAGAACCATTGTCCTAAGTCCTCTGAGGATGTTTATACGGCACACACAGTGTTCTATGTCTGCCTCAGGTAAGCTAATAGGAAGAAAAAGGCACAAATGCAGGCTGCTGGGTGACCATAGAGACATAGGTTGTACCACGCTGCAATGTGTAGTTAACAGAACGTTATTTTGGAGGTATCATATAAGACATTTTCATGCAAATGCCACAATTAAGCAAATACTTTTCTCACATAGTTTAGAAATGAAAGTGTAGTCAACTGATGGCTTATTTTAAAATGATTCACTTGTAAATCTTCACTTTAGAAAAGAAGGAACTTGATTGGAGGTTAGGGCAGGAGGATCAGAGATTCGAAGTCATCTTTGGCTACATGGCAAGTTAGAGGGCAGCCTGGGCTACATAAGACTCTATCTCAAAACCCCAAAGATAACTAATTTAAAAGTAATTTTAAGGACCCTTTGAGACAAGATCAGGATGTACATGTGTAGGGTAAAACAGAAAAGAAAATCTTTGTTTGGCAGCACAAACATGGGAGTAAGCTTATGAAACTGATCTGTGACTCACAAAATCAAGAGTTTCAGACTCTTGAAGCTCTTGGGAACTGCTGAAAATGACAAAGCAATTAGAACAGTAGTTCTAAATGTCTTTTTCCAAATGTCTACAAACCTCTTCTGTGTTGCAAGTTCTTCTGTCAGCCTGGCTTGAATAAAGAAACAGAGCAAGTGCTGATATCAGATATTTGGCTTGGACTATTATTTCTGTATTCGTGGATTTTGGAGGTCATGAATATCTAAAAAGTTAATTTGGTAAACTGACAATAAATTTCAGCCAGCTGTTAAAACTACTTGAAAACTATTTGCTCTTGAGGGTGTAAGCTGATGACTTGTGCCAAAGAGATATTTATTTCATCAGTAGAAATGGTTACTATCACAGAATATGAATGGAAACATTCATAACTGAGTACCCAACTCTGGGAGGAGAAGGTTTAGGCCTTTGCTCTCCTGTGTTTTGGAGGTCATAGCAATTCTGGCCCCGGAGAATTTATAGAGATAGTAAATGAAGAAGTAACATATTATCTTATCTTGTTAAAGAAAAACAAAGTTAAGGAATAATAATTAGTGTTCTTCTATCAGATGACAACTGAATATTGAAATCTACCATTCTTCTGCTTGACTTTTCCAGGCTATTTGCTTGCCTGGCTATTGACTGGACAAAACGTTACTGATTCATTATTCTGGAAGAATTATGCCCCAAATCAGACAGAACATGGTCGTCCAGCCATTTTATTCCATTTCTTATGCTTTTTTGTAATTTTCTTTTAAGCAGATATAAAAGTTTCATCCATAATGTCTACTCACAATTTCCATTGTCCGGCTTAGCAAACAGGCTTGCCATTTCAACTGTACATGGGGCTTGGCATAGATCTGAAGGTTCCTTTTGGTCTTCATGGATAGAGCATGTGCTTTTCCTCATGGACAAGTAAGGCTGTGTGACATGCACATATAGCACTAAGGCCCTTGCCCAGGCAGGGTGGTTAATTTCTCAGATACTTTGTGGAAAACTTTAGCTACAGATCAACTATGTCCAGGCGACAGTTATGAATTTGAGTACAGAATTGGTATATAAAGGGGAAAAATGGCTGAGAACTACAGTTTTTTTAAACTTTCAAAATTGAATGTCATTTTTAAAAGTATAACTGGAGAGCTTGGCATGGTGGCACATGCCATAAATCCCTTGTCACTTGGGAGGCTGAGACAGGGAAAGAATTGAGAAATGACTGCTGAAAACTGTGGCATTTGTCTTTTTATGTCCCATCATTATTGCTGTTCTGATCTTAACTGCAGAACAGGCACCTCCCAGAGTCAGTTTTCCAGTCCCCCAGAATGCTGGGATGCAGTTGAGGGCTGCAAGGCTATCTTCAGGGCCTTGTCCTTGCGCAGGCAACCCTGAGGTGTAAAGACAACTTCTCCTGACAATGCTGGGCATCTGTTGGGTTCCTCCAACTAAGTGAAAGACTTTAAAAGGAAAGCTGACTTACAGCACATCTCCTCAAGTGGTCTCCTTCCTGCTAAGCAGCGTGGGCATGTTATTATAAAGAGCCCTTTCCTCACAAGCTTATCTTCCTGCTTTGTGTGTGTTGGGGGAGGGGGAATAGATAAACACAAACCCAGCATAATTAATCCACGTGGCATGTTATCATGCCGGAGAGTGATAAGTACTACTGAGAAAAATAAAACAGAGAGGAAAGGGTTGTCTGAGGCAGGCGGCTTCCGTTGGTCTGCAAAGCCTCACATCTGAGTAAAGTCAAGGAAGCAAGGGAAGGAGTCGCCCAATCTAGGCCTTGGGGAAGGGAATTTCGGGAAAGAACACCCAATGTAAAGGCTCAGGCAGAGGGCAAAGGCCCCGGTGTTGGTTGAAGAACAGCAGGAAACAGAAGCAGAGAGTGAGGAGTCAAGGAGCAGAAGAAACCAAGAGGAAGATGTTAAGAGGAAGATGTCAGGAGGATTTTGCTAGAATGTTCTAAGGATGGGTCTGAGAACCACAGGAAGTCACGGGAGTAGGGGAGTCACATGACAACATGTTAAAAGCATTGTTTTTCAGCAGCCCTAGGAGAGGCTCCCTCAAAAGGGGCCTGAAAGACAACTCTGCTAACAGGTGTCTCAAAGTTTGCACAAGCAGCTACTGAAAGGAGAAAGATTTGAATCCTGGTGGAATGATGGTTTGGGGAAAAAAGATGGGTTTAGGACGCGACCTCTTAAAATACTCTGGTCCATCTGCTCCGGCCTTAGGTACCCTCCCCCGAGAGTAAGGACCAGACAAACTGTTGGCTTTGGGACCGCAGGACCTCTCCACCTGCTTCCCGGTAGGCACAGGACCTGCTTCCGTTCCAACAGGAGCCTGAGGTCCAGCTCAGAGCCTACTCATCAGTATTCCGCCCGCGAAATCTCTCCCCGCCTCCTCCGTGCATCCGGCTTCTGCCTTCCTCCCTGAGACATTCCCCTGAGGTCCGAGCAATCCCATCGCCCCTCCTGTCCCTTGTCCCGGGTCCTCAATCCACCCTGCACTGGCTCTTGCCCAGAGGCCTTTGGCCACCCGCGTGCCTCTGCCAAGCCACATAGGCTTTGCCCTAAGGTGGTGGCGGCCATAGTCTGCAGACTGAAGAGGGGGTGCCTTGCGCCCAGCTCACAGGCACAGTGCCTGGGGTGGGAAACCCACGCTCAGACATCCCTGCAACCGCTCCCTGGAGACATTCAACTTCCGTGCATCACATTAAATGTCCCCCGAGCCTCCTGCAATGCACCAGATCGCAAGGCAGACTCCAAAGGCACCTGCACTGCGCCCCCACTGGGATGCGCTGTGACCCAAAGAGGGACCGAGTACTGCAAACCTGGAGAACCCAGGGCGCGGGAATTCAGGGGTGGGATGGCATAGGACTCACCTTGTGCAATTTCCACATGGCCCCCAAAGCCTTGACTTCGTGGCTGGAGTGTTTTCCCTCCTCCAGGCACTGGTAGCACACGGGCATCTTGCACTGCACGCAGTACATGCTGTGATTCTCCAGCTCATGGTCTGTGCAGGTGGAGACCTTGCGCGGGCTCAGGCGCCGGCTTACCCGGCCTTGGGCTGGGGGCACCAAACGGTGTTTGGCTAGGGGCCCCCGCGGCGGGTGGCAGCGCAGGCGGCAAGGGTCGCAGTAGAAAACATCGCACTGTTCGCACATGACGGTGGCTTCCTTGGGCGCCTTCTCGCAGAGCTGGCACTTGAGAGCCGCGGCTTTGCTCTGTTGGTAGCGGTCAATGACCCCTTCCAGGACACGGTTCTTGGGGAAGCCACGGAGCCCCCTGTCATCCAAGATGAGGCTGCGGTGGCACTGGGGACAGGTGATGCAGGAGTTGCGGGGCACCGGGGCCAAAGCCGGTGACAGGTGGGTGGGCGGTGGCGGCATAGCAGGGGGAAAAACGCGGACGCCGTTGGGTGACTTCTGGCACGGGGTAGTGGGGGCGCTGGCGAAACCTCCGTAGGAGCCATAGCCGCTGTCCGCCTCGCTGTACAGACTCATCTTGTCCAGGTCCAGATAGTCATAGTCGGAGACCCCAGAGCCCGAGGCCCGACGGCTCTGGGGGGACTCGGACTCCGGGGTCTGCACCAGGATGTTGCGGGCGCACGCCTGACATAAATTGTGAGAGCAGGGCAAGATGATGGGCTCCCGATAGAAGGAGCCGCACACAGGGCATTTTAACTCTTCTTCCATCTCTTCCATGGGGACCTGGCTGGAAGCGAGGCAGCAGCGGCTGCAGCAGAAGGGGCCTGACCGGGCGTAGCGGCCGATGGGCCTGCGGTGTCCAGCACCTTGGCCAGCGGCGGCGGTTGTGGCGCCTTCCCGCGTCCCCTTGGCGCCGACTCCCCGCGACGCGCTCTCCCCGCGAGCGGCTGAGCCTCA